ACGTCGTGGTTGTTACTGGTAATTAAATTAATCAGTTTTAACGTCGTGGTTGTTACTGGTAATTGAAGTTAATCAGTTTTAACGTCGTGGTTATTACTGGTAATTGAAATTAATCAGTTTTAACGTCGTGATTATTACTGGTAATTGAAGTTAATCAGTTTTAACGCCGTGGTTGTTACTGGTAATTGAAATTAATCAGTTTTAACGTTGTGGTATTACTCTTCTTTATGGTCCTGAATTGTGAAGCCTGAATTATAAAAACTGTCTTCTATGGATAAAAGCATCACGTACGGTATGCGCTTATTCACGTGCAGTCTCAGCCTTTCCACACTGTTCTATATTAATGTTATTGTCTACATTGATGGAGTAGTTATTGAGTAAATGCCAGAGTAGTAACAGAGAAGGTAGAGTACAATCGGACAAACATGTACAAATTGTTATTCTGGTCTGTATAAGTTGTTTTGAGCATTTGTTTGTCAAAACACACATACTCTTCTGTTTTGTATAAAAGGGGGTGCTTTTGGTATAATATTTTCCAAAACAGATTAACGCTTTGTTCAGACAATTTCTATGTACTTGGTGCAGAGTCATGCCTCATCACGTGCCAGAAGTTATAGGGTGTCAAATTGCTCGACTGTCCACAAATGGTATGAAGCAAACGGATATTGCTAGAACAGTAGGGTACCCCCAGTGTACTTTATCCAGAATCCTGACACGTCATCGGACAACAGGAAACATTATTCCATGAAAGTCTGCTTGTAGATGCCGAAAAACTAGTGCCCGAGCTGACCGTATTTTAATTAGGTTAACATGTTATGGTTGAAAGAAGTCTTGCAACACCTTACGACAGGAATGGCATGAACACATTCATTCCAAGGTATACAGAAGAACAGTGAATAGGAGACTGGCCAAACAAGGTTATTTTGCAGGAAGAGCTAGCTGAAAATCGATATTAACCAGAATTTACCGTCGTCACCTTGTTACTTGGATAAGACAGCATGCCAACTTACAGTTAGGACACTGGCGACATGTCATATTTTCAGACTAGTCCTGTTTCCGGCTTGTTAAAGCTGATGGTAAGAATCTTGTTCGTCGTTTGCCTAAAGACCAGATGAGGGAAGGCTGGCTTTCCAAAGGGGAACACACAGGAGGTGGTGCAGTATATGTTTGGGCAATTGTTCATCATGTTAGAAAAAGTGCTCTTCATATCTTCCAGGAAAACGTCAATGGCGACTCCTACAGGCATCACATGGACACGCGATTTCTGCCATATGCTAGAGCAAGGTTTGGCAATAACTTTGTATTCCAGGATGACAATGCTACTTCCCACAATGCAGATATTGTAAAGGTTTATCTCGACCAGGAAGACGTTACAAGATTGCCATGGCCAGCAAAGTCTCCAAAGTGTAATCCCATTGAGAGCTGTTGAGCAGAACTGAGCCGGAAAATTGACAACCACGACCCTAAAGCAGTTACTATAGCTGAGCTGCAGCGCCTTCTAGTGACAAATTGGGAGGAAACCACGGTGGATTGCATCAATAAACTCATCGACAGCATGCCAAGTCGCCTTGCAGAGGTTATTAGAATACGAAGAGACCGACCAAGTACTGAATGTTTAATATGAACTGATATAAGGTTACAGACACTATTTATAAATATTTGATGTTATATTTTGTCATTATTTATGTTTTGGTAAGGTTTTGTTTTAATAGGTTAAATGCTGAATTACACATCTTTCAACAGATATCTGATAAAATTGTTTGTTGTTCTGATAAATCGTTCGAGGTGTCCATAGAACCTGTCTCATTATACAACTTATATATACACATGTTTAATATAAGATGCATTTCTTAGTTTGACAACACTAAGTGCATTTGTATTCCATCTTAATAATAATGATCTTATTTGTTACAAAATATGCAAACATTTTGGCCAAGACTGTAAATGTTTTATCATATGAAAAAAAAAATAGTGAAAACTATGACGAAAGATTAATAATGAAATATTTTCTAGATTTTTAACTACATGATTATTATTGTTGTTATTATTATTTGCCAACTTCACTATTCGATTAGAGTAGCCCAAGAGTTGGCGGTCGGTGCTGTTGACTATTTCCCTTCCCTCTAGTTTATAAATTCAAAATTAAGGACGGCTAGCGTAGTTAGCCCTTGTGTAGTTTTGCATTATTATCTAAACTCCGAAGTAATCTCAAGAAACACTTCACTATGTCAACGTTTAAAATTACGATGACGATTACTGCTAACAACTACTTACTTCCAACAAATTACTTAGTTATCACTTACAAATACCTGCTTAATCAAAACTACTTGAGTGAATTTTTCACATTAGCGTATTTGCGTAGCCATTCTGTAGCCGATCCCAATCATCTCTTCGGTATAGAGACAAGCAAAATGTGCATATTCGGTGACTTTTTTTTGGGGAGGGGGCGTGCATAAGCGCATTACATATGATAGACATTATTACCCGATCCCACGAAACGGAGCCTTTTCTTTTATCATGTTTTTTTAAGAACTAGAAGGTCGACATGCACTTCTAAGTTAGTCTAAGCAAACAGCAAACCACGTTTAGCATTGTTAAAAAACGTAAAAAGGTTCTAGCTTAGAGGTATTCCTTCTTCAGTGCGTTTTCCACATGAGCGTAGCTACACTGTGACCGACCTCAGTTGTTTAGTTAGGACTGGGTCATCTGACTGATTAGTGGGATTTGACCATCGTTCTTATAATGTACTGTCAAAAAAACGTATAACGTTTTTTAACTTAGAGATTTTTTTGTCCTACTGAAAATCATTTCCTAGCTACGCCAGTGACTTTCCATCTTTTTCTAGTAGCTACAGTTACAGGAGTATCTGATTTGTGATATACAAGGAGACGTATTATCAAGAAATAAGTTAACTATGCCAACTGATTTACTTGTGTATGGTTGTCACTATGAATAGTGGTATCGTATCTAATTGTGTATCTAATCTAGTGTGTGTGTGTGTGTGTATATATATATAATTCTGTTTTAGAAAATGCTAGTGTGTGTATACATATATATATATATGTTTTAGAAAATGCTAGTGTGTTTATATAGATATATATATATATAATTAAAATCCTAGTGTATATATACACACACATATATATATAATTATGTTTTAGAAAATGCTAGTGTGTGTATACATATATATATATATGTTTTAGAAAATGCTAGTGTGTTTATATAGATATATATATATATAATTAAAATCCTAGTGTATATATACACACACATATATATATAATTGTGTTTTAGAAAATGCTAGTATATATATATATATGTATGTATAATTGTTTTAGATGACTTAAATTGTTAGTAATTAAAGAATAAAAAATGTTTCCATTACTGTAACTATCGACACAAAAACGTCACGCGTACTAGATGCACTTGAATCGGACCTTGTATGCGTAAGCTAATGCATGCGCAGAAATGAGCCACGAGGTGGCGGTTCTAGTTTTCTACAATGTACGCATGCTCGGCAGGAAGTCTATCGTCACCATGGCGTCAGTAGCAGCCGAAATGCACGGGTATCGATTTTCGATTTTCCGTTATGGCTTCCTCAGCTCGTGACAGTGGGAACTTGAAAAGAGCTATTATTTGGTGAAACAAAAAATAATAATAATAAGCTAAGATTCTTATACAGATTTTGTCGTGATAGCAAGTTTTTTTTTTGTTTTATTTTTACAAGATAGATGATATAAACATATTCCCAACATTAGAAGGCTTAATTATTAACACAAAATGTGTCTCAGTTCTAAAAACGAAACAAATTTACAAAATATGTAAATATATCTATATAATTTACCTACAATAACTTTTAAATCGCAGTAAGATATTGACAAAAGCACGATTTGTATACTAAGTATATGGGTAAACAAACGTACTGTAAGTAGGTGTAAGTGAGAACTTAATAAGTAGCTATAAGCAAGTAGAAAGTTATAAGTTGTAAGTCATTATAATTTTCAAATCTAGCACTCTGAAAAGCTTGTTTGTACTTTTTCGCGTAAACCTAGACAAGGGTTATCTGCGCTAGCAGTATCTAGCTTTGAAATGATTGACTACAGGGAAGGCAGCTAGTCAACAGTACTCACAGGCCAACTCATGGGATACTTTTATCGACTAGTGATATTTGACAGTCACTCTTATAATGCACCCACTGGTTCACAGTGTGAAACTCGACTTCCTAATTCATATAATTAAATCTGAATGTAAGTAACTAAAACGACGTATAAGTTTACATAATCTAGGTAAGTTAACGTAAAAAGAAATTAAATAGGACTTTATTATTTGGATGTAATTCGAGTACGTTAAAATACGAAGAAAATAACACGCCTTTTTTGTTTAAGTGTCTCAAAGGAGTCATGAATGCAATACGACAAGAAGTTACTACTTGAAATAACCATATTAATGTACAGTACGTGGTATATTTTCAGAACGCGTAATATTTTGGAGAGTTTTTCAAAAACAACCAACCAGAGTATGTTAAAAGAATAGTTTGTTTGTTTGCTTTCGAATATTCGCGCAAACCTACTCAAGAACTATCTGCGCTAGCCGTCCATAATTGTGAACTGAGAAGCTAGAGGGATGCCAGCTATTCAACAGTAGCCACCGCCAACTCTTGAGCTACTCTTGTCTGACCGAATAGTGGGGTTTGACCGTTACCCTTATAACACACTGAAACGGAAGCTGCTATTTTTTTTTTCGGTAACGATACGTGAATGATGACCACAGATTCATAGTTTGGTATACTAATCACTGAGCCATATTTGCCCCTAAATGAACAAAAGAAAAAAATTAAAATGACTTCACTATTTAGATTAAGCTACCAAAAAGAAATAATACGTCTTAATCTTTAATAACTTGTGTTAAGTAAAAATATCGGGAAAATAAATAGAACTTATTAGTCAAATAATAGTGTAAGTTAAACAAACGATAAAATAAATAGAAAAAAAATAACTCACTTCATCTGTTTGACGATCGTGCTTTTTCCGGATTCACCAGCACCTACAAGACATAAGAAAATCCTTGAGTTATTTGTATGTTATATATAAAACACCAACGTATTAGGTCAATGAAATTTTTCCCACGGGATATTTTTCGATCCGATCTTCATTCTTTATACCATAAATAACAGAAGTTGTGGGTGAATAATGATAGTAATTAAATAATTCCTTAAACTCACGGAAATGTATTTTCTTCGGATACAGATAAATCTTGTTACACAATACCTGTGTAAGCCAGTGTTAAAATCAGAACTATACTGATATATTTGGAATATGTAAACCAAAAATTCGACTGCCAATCTCTTAAAAACAATAAAACAACATTCATGATACACCCGCATTTAAATTAGCAAAATTACGTCTATTGTTTGAAGCCACTATGAAAAGACAAACGCTTTTTTTGTGTGTGTATGAATATATATTTCCATATACGTGTAGATTCAGCAGAAAGTTAAACCTACCTAGGAGTAACAACTTAATGTCCTTCGCCGCTTGTAAGCCATCTTCTTTCAGGTTCTTCTCAATCTGTTTGCTTCTGTTTAGAGCAGCCTTATCCTCCGTACTCATAGCACAACCCATAGCGGCGGCAGTGACTCGACGGTCGGCTTCACCTCACACCATCAAGCTCAATCTGCTTCCTTGCTAGTTGCGCTTTACCTCACCACTGACGTATTTGAATTACTAAACACCCCAGAACCACGACAGATTACGGTATTCTATGGTTTACTCTCCAACTTTGAATTCTCGCGTTCGATCTGCCTTACTAAACGTTAAAAGGCTTGTATTCTTAGAAAATACGAAATCCACTAAGAAGTGGTGATGAGAAGTAATGGAGAAGAGCAATGCCCAATCAGGAAGAAGCATGGCAAACTCAGTTTACTGTTTCCATAGCCCCGCATCACGGAGTCTAGCAGGGTAGTGACGTCATCATACCGTGTGCTATCGTACATTTTAGGCAAAAATTAGTTGTAAATGGTTGTCTTCACGAGATCTCTTTGTTTGATTGTTGTAGGGCCAGGCGTAGATTAGTGGTTAACATGCTGGACTTTGAATTCGAGGGTCCTTGGATCGCGTCCCGTTGCCACACATTAGAACTGTGAGTGCTTTATAAAAATAACGATCAACACCCACCGGCGGTGGATGCTGATAACGAGCTGTTTTTCAGTGGACTATCTGTGATATATCCAGTACACCGCGAGGATGAAACCCCGAATTTTAGCTCTATAATCTCTGTTGCCATCGGGGGGCTTCGCTAGATCAGTTATATTAAAGAAGCACTTATCGATTAAATTACGTGGTTATCTTTAGACTAGAGTCACGAACACATATACACACACACCTAAGCCATCATACGACTCTTTCGGAGATATCTAAGCTAACAGACACAAAGTAAGGTGATAAACGAGGCCAAACAAATACAGCGGTAAGCATTGGGCATCATTGTCGCCATCCTGTACGTTACACAGCCTTTCATGATTTAACTATTAGTTTGAATTGCTCAAATCTGACACGAATTACTTTGTAAAGGTACGTATAGAGCATATAGAAAGTGGTGTTATATATAAACACTACTATCACAAAGCTAGGATGCCATAATTTCAATGCATGTTCATTCATTGTATAATAGTTTAAGCATTTGATCAAAATACTTTTCATTTTCAAATTAGTGTTCTCTTCCGAAACACTACAGGTTCCCTTACGTGTATGACGACGAAACAGTTATCCGAGTGATCTTTGTTCACCACGTGTGTCGTAACTTGTTTTGTTGCTCGTAAATTAAATGTTTGTGCTTCAGAGCTGGCGCTAGTCAACAAGTTTAGCTATAAAATGAAATAAGTCACGTCACTGTAAGGCCTCTTGAAAAGCACGAAACCTATCATAGTAAGTACGGTAATAAAATGTTTCAATTAGCGACCTGGAAGATACAAAGGTTAGAATATAAAATGTTTTAAATAGATACTCGAACATAGTAAGGACACTACATAAAATGTTTTACATAGATATCCGAACAGGGTAAGGAATATAAAATGTTTTAAATAGATACTCGTACATAGTAAGGACAGTACATAAATTGTTTTAAATAGATACTCGAACGTAGTTTTCACTACATATCTTAAACATAGCGAGGACAGTAAGTAAAATCTCTTAATTAGTGACCTGATAGATAATGATGTCAGTACATAAACGTTTTAAATAGACTCTTCGAACATATAGAGGGCAATGTGTAAAATGTTTTAAATAGTACATACAATGTTTTGAACAGATATCTTGAACACACTGAGGACAATAAGTAAAATGGCTCATTTAGCGACCTCGAACATAGAGAGGACAATGCTTAAAATGTTTTAAATATCTACTTGGAACAAAATAGAATTCAAGAGCAAAAAGTATTACAACTTTTTATTTTATCTTGGCTACAGTGCGAAAACATCTGCATAGCGTTAAAGAGAAAAATAAGTAAACTTGAATCGTATTTTTAGTTTCAATTTGTAAGTTCATTCTTATTGTATGCTATAAAATATTATTGTAAGACTTACATCACAGCTCATGTGAGTGACTTATGTCCATGTATAGCTTGTCACCTGAAGAAGTGTGATTTATGCAAAATATTCTGTTTTGACTTGGGAAAGAACTCATGAACAAAAATGGACCTTTATCGCCATCTGTGGTGTGAATTCTAAACTAAAGCTCTGAATAAAAATAAAACGAAAAACATCTCTTAACAAGAGAAAGAAAATAAATAGATGGACGGCACGAGAATATCAAGAAAGCTTAACAAAAATTAGGTTAACTGAAGCAGAGGGAAAACAAATGACACCGTCAAACGAAGCTTCTGAAGAAACAAAGCGAAAATGATAAATTAATGCTGAAAGATATGCAAACGGGTTCCGGCACCCCTATGCCATCCTCATGCGTTATATATAGTTATAGCTAGTTATATATAGTTAACAGACAAAACTATGTTGTAATGTCCAAGGACATTGAGAGCCATCATGGCCCCCTTACTTTTATAAAATAGGATTAAGTGGGATTTAAATAAAATAATATCTCGGCCCCTCGACGGTCCCCGGGCAACAAGATCCCTCTAATCGGGCCTAGTAATGACAGCTCTAGTGTTTGTATATATTATAGGCTTAACAGGCAATACTATCTTGCAATGACAGTTCTAGTATTTGTACATATTATAAACTGAACAAGAAACACTTATTTGTAATGGCGATTCTAATTTTTGGACATATTATAAACTGAACAACACTATTTTGTAATGGCGATTCTAATGTTTGTACATATTGTAACCTAATCTACAACACTATGTTATAATGACAGTTTTAGTAAGGTAACAGGCAACACTATGTTGTAATGGCGATACTAATATTTTTACATATTATAGGCTTAACAGGTAACACCATGTCACAATAGCAGCTCACTAGGTCATGATTTGTTAACTACATAAATATTCCTTATGAACCCTCGTTAAAATACTTTTCATTTTTCCATTATTTTTCTCTTTTTTAATTCCATTACCCCTAAATTTGTAAAATCATTTGTTTAAGACGCAAACATATTTGCAAAATTTGAATAAGAATTTGATATCTGTCCTCTACTTCTACTGTTCTAGTACAATTAATTCATGGCAGTATCTGAGTATTTGTAAAATCTTTCTTTATTAACATCATTTGGAAGACAACAGTATCATACATAATCAGTTGCACAATACATAAATGAAAGATCTCAGCTGTAATTGTACACAGGATTTTAAAGGTTACCAAGAAAATGTTTATAAAACTTTATGTTCTTTGACCAAGAAACTAAAGCATTACATCGTTTTTTGATCATTTTTCATTTTATTTTATTCAATAAAACGTTTATTTTATTCAATATGGATTCATCTCAGATTAATCAATTACTAAAAACTTGTGAAAGCCTAGTTTCACTTCTAAATTATTGACTGTTTAAATTTTTTGACTAAAGCTATATAAAGAGTTGTTACATATAATTATGATGATCTTTGACAAGAATGGATGATTAACTAGATCTTTCTTTTCTTCATTGTACAAACATATTTTTATAAAATATTTTGATGTATGACAACTTGTGAAATGAATACAAAAGATTACTGGCTTGAACAGAATGAACCTCAGCATGACAATCTCAAGATTTTGTCTCAGTCTTTCTAAGGTGGCACTTTTGACATAGCAAGTGATTCTCTACAGGATAGCATCTTTTACCAGGTTCATTGGATAACTGTGTTCCACAGTCCTAAAGAAAGAAAAATTAATAGAGATCTGAATAAGTAATGGTTCCAAGGTGGAAATATATTTATTTAAGTCTCAGGTTATGTGAATGCATACTTAATATGTTCCTTCCGTGTATTTATGTGAATTGAGAAGCATACAAAAAAGGAGAATAGATTATTTTTGATACAGGTAAAATATCAGAAAAACTATAAAGCTGTCGCCCATTTTAATTGATCAACAAATCATAAAAAAAGTATTTAAAATACATTTTTTTAAAGAAATAAATCATTATTAGATATCAATAAGGTATGTATGGAGATATCCATGGTCTATGGTAATGATGCAAGGTTGACTGCTTGGGACTTGCCGCTCTTTCTTCCACCGCTATCGGTGTTCTATGTGATAGCCCTGATTATGGACTATTGCTCTGCAGTGCAATTTCCACTGCAGGAGGCTTTTATGCAACACAATGAAATCAATCAAAGTCCATCAGTCATGAGAGAATAATGACTTCCTGGGCCTGTTTCAGCAATTCTTGTCTCAATTTTATAAACCTAAGAGGTTTTTACTTTAGCTATAATGGACTACTGTATTCCAAGGTTACTTCTGGTGAAATGCTGTTAAACTTTCTTCATTACCTACAGAGTGCATCTGGAAACTGGTTATTGAGGACCTCTTTCACCCTGATGGAATAAAACTTTCCCTTGCTTTAACATATCAGGTCAGCACTATGGCAATGCTAAAATAGGAGAAAGTCAAACCAAAAACTCCTCGTAATGTATCCCTCTAAGAAGGGTTTAATTTTAAGCACCATATACACTTTCAAGTCACCATACATCAACTGAATTGCAACAAGAAGTTCAAGGCTTTTATCCTGTGTTGTTACAGGCCAAGGGCAAGGTAACTGAACATGCGAGTTGTTATCATAGATCATGAATAATCCTCTATGCTTCACCAACAAAAACAAACCACAACCTATAAGAAACAAATTAACAAAACGTTAGATACTAAAAATTATGTCTTAACTTTTAAAAACATTCCTTACATAAAGGTTAATCTTAGGATGATAAAAATCAAACTTTAAAATCTTTGCACTTCTTAAAAAAGATTCCCAAATATTCAGGTATAAAATTTGCAAACAAGTCACCACTAAATCTTAAGAAGCATACTTTGCAGACAAATCACTAATTAAAGGTTAAAAAACAAAGGTCATACTAAACATTACGAGAAATACCTCACAAACAAAACACTGTTGATGAAAGTCTTTATCCATTGCTACTACCCGCACAGTTTCATCAGTTCCCTGATATAAAACAAAACAAACATGTAATATATTGAATAGTGGCAAAATGTTAAGTTTGTTATTGCTGACTGATGAGTAAAGAAATCAAACATTTTGTTTTAACATCATAAGATAAGGTTACTATCATACATAGTCTGATTAAGAGTATGAGATGGTTCTACAGGTGAAATTATGCAGAAAAACATTACTAAAAAAATATAAAATGTACTAAATAAGAAATAGTTCTGTAATCAAAACATAAACTTATGTCATAGAGTGAGCGTTTAGCTTATCTAAAGCATTTATCAAACAGTAGTTTAAATACTACATTAATGCTGAAAATTATAGAAGTTTTTTCAGTTCCAAAAGATAAGCACAAACAGAACACTACACTATTTAGTACCTCTTTTGGAGTAATAGGTTTTCCACATGCTGAACATTTACGGGCAAAAACTCTGCAAAATGTAAAAAAAAATATTTACAAAGAAAGTACAATTCATGAATACATGCTTCATTCTGCATTTTAAAGTAGCACATACTTAACTTTTTCTGAACTGTTGCATCTTTTGTTAAGAATCAACAACCTTAGTCACAGAATCATGGTTATATTAAATTATTGTGTTGATTTCAATATCTATAATGGTAAGAATTACAAGGACAATTTGGTACAATTTCTCAATATATATATTTATGTGTAATTTAGATGAGTTACCTTTTAAACTAAGTTTTAAAATTTTTTGATTGAAACTAATGATGTATATTTCAACTGTTTCAAGACTGGATAAGCAATTCTGTATACTTCAAACTTACAAAGTATAAACCAGATCAGTTGATTATCTAACATAAATTTAGAATCTCTATTTTTCCTCAATGAAAATGCCAATATGAATCTTACAAAATAAACCAGTGTTAAACGAAATACAGTGAGAAACATTGCTTTTTAAGTAATATCTTTCTCTTTTATCTCTAATGTCTCAGAAAAACAATAAATAATGTGCATATTTATATTTAACTTTCTACATATATAAACATACGTTTTGAACATTTTGTGGGAAAAAAAAATGCAGAAAAACTCATAATTAAATGCCAACTATTTAGACTTATCATCTTGTTCACAAACAACAAATATGCTTACATACATTAGTTATCTATATGCTATACAGTGTTACATAACATATACATTTACGTATTTTATTTAGCTATGTTCCATAAAAAAACTTGTTTGTAACATCATAGGTACATGTTACAACTATGATAATCTACAAAATTTATTTGCAATTTCTATAGCTATAATTTTTAAATTTGATATTGTTACAGCCTATATGTATAAGAAACATTTACTGCTAAAAGTGTACAGAACTCTTGATTTTATGACATCAGCCAATCATCAGGCTTTCCATGATAACTTTGTAAGTACTTTTCCAGGAACACTCATACAGTGAGGAGAATTTTAATATTAAAATGTGTGTGTGTGAAAGAAGGTAAAATGACATGAATTGTATGAATTTGAGATTACATTACATGACATTACATTTGAAATGACATTACAGTTGGTTGGGGATATGTAAAATCAATATGAGTGGTCACTGCTTAGTTATGTAACATCTAATGTAAATAAAATCATTTGCCAACATTAGATCATGCTTCATGGTACTACAACAATTAAACCACTTCCAGTTAGAACATGACAGATGTTCAGCTGTTGGGAATCTCTGAAGTAAATTCACAGAAGATTTACTGAATCGGTGTACCATATGTAAGTAAGCATCAACTGTCAGTCTGTGCAGCATATTCTTTATGAACATGAATTTTTTGGGAAGGACTATTATACAAAGCCAAACTAAGCCTACAAGAGTACACCACACTATTTTGCTTGATGCAAAATCCATAAATACAGGAGTTCAGCAATAAAATAATTTTCACATATGGGTTTCAAGGCAGGACAGTGAATGGTGAATTTTTTGTGTCTGCTGTTTATGATGTTGGCTACATGTTGGGCAATGTGTGTACAATGTATCCATAATAAAGTGTCTGCATGTATAAATAACATTGGGTACAAACTGATAAATCTGCTACAGAAATTGTAGTAGAATTTCTTGGTCCTCATGCTAATGAATTGTTCTTGTAAGGCAATGCTCCCAGCCATAATGCATGAACAACTTCTGTCTGGTTTCAAAGTAACTGTACCAATGTCTTCGAATTTTTTACCCAGAATCCACATTTTTGGAACAAAATGAAAGGATTAGACTACAGACTCCCAATCATCGTCAACTGAACCAACTATGAAGATAAATTGAATAAGATACCTGTTAGAGCCTAGTTAAGAGCATGCCCAACAGGCTTGCAAAAGTAATTTAGGCTAAGGGTAGTGCTACAACATAATACAGTACCACTGGGATACCTTCCAAATAACTGGATATTTTTGGCTGAACAACATATAATACAGTATATTTTAAAATCAACCATTTGAAAAACATATGAAGTTGGAAAATGTACTTCATGAAAATGACTTAGTACTGTCAATGAAATGATAATATACTTTTTAATACAAGAAAACTGTTTAAAAAGTTAGAAAGTACTAGTTTAGTAGTTCCCAAATTGTGGTCTGCAAACCATTGATGGTCCAGGAGGGTCCTCCAGATGGTCCAAAATGCAAGTCCCTGATGAGTTTTTTTGCAGTAGCAAGTGAAAACGAGTGGGGTAGGATCATAAGTAATCCATAGAGCCTTTTTCTCTGCTGAAGTGGTTCTCAGATGAAAAAGTTTGAAGAGTACTGCACTAGCTTGTACTGACTAGCAAACTCCATTTCACTACAAACTACAAATTGCAGTATCAGCTCTTATCATCCAATCCATGTAGACAATACAAAATGTTTTTAGGGAGGAATGTATTGGTGGTATAGCTTCTGTGAAAACAAATACTTTTAAATTCTTTCATTGTAAAATATTATTTGAAGCAGTTCATCTGAACTGAGCATTATGGGATAATTTATCCTTCAGCTTTTATAAGTTGGAAGTATTTCACTAACTAAGAGTATAGAAAATGTTGTTTAAAAACAATTACATCACAAACTTTAAAAAATGCAGTAAATTATGAATTAAAAAGACTCAACCAAAACTGACCGATAAAAGAAGATAGAGAGAGAGAGAAGCAGAAAAGTTACTGGCTTACTTATAGTAATCACGCAGGCAGTAAATCTTGTTATCCAGATCAACAGTGAAAGGTTCACCACTGAGTCCTTCATTACACACACAACACCGAAAACACCCTGGGTGAAAAGATTTTCCCACTGCTTGGAGAATCTGTAATAACAATGGAAGAACGGTCATGGAAACTATTATGGCAGTGCATGTATCAAAATTTTACAAATATACAGTGTTCAGTTAGTGATAATCTTTACACTTCTAGTGTGATGGCCAGACAGCTTGAGGGCTTTACTGTAGGTTATCATTCTAGTGTTGTTTATATTTAACCCATAAGAGGAGTTTTGAACCATGATACTAGTTTTGAATACTACACTATCAAAGTAGATTTCAGTGTACAAGCCATGTTGTGTATGAGATTTTATAAGATAATGAAGTAAGATAAAAATCACTCACAAATGATATAGAATAACTGTCTTTCTAAATTACAACATTTTCATGCTTCACTGTTCAATAGCAACATAACTACAAAGCATATCTTGTTTCTCATCTCATCCAGAATATACTTTTAAAGACAACCAAATCAGTAATAGTTAATGGAGCAAACAATTTTTTATACACTTTGTAAATAAATTATATACTAATCTTTCCTCAATTTTCATTTCATTAAAATCATTGATCAAAATTTAATATATATATATATATATATTTATTTATTATTTTAAATTTTTCTAGGTATTTTATTATTCTTAGAATTCTTTTGCATTTTTAGATTAGTGAATGGGTTTAAGACTAATCCAAATCTCCTAAGCTGGTACAAACATACGAGTTATTATTGGAATTATTTTATTATAAGTTACAACTTTTAAAGTAAGGAAAGTTATTTTTTAGAACAGTTACAATATTTCAATCACTGGTGTGATCATTCTCAAGTAGGTTAAGTTGTGTATTTTAGAATGATTGCACCAGTGATCAAAACATTTTACCTGTTCTAAAAAAATCCTTCTTTACTGTAAAAGCTGTAACTTATACTAAAACAATATTTAGTCAGTAAATACATTCAAAATGAAACTATTATTGAGATTATATTGTTAACAGCAAGGATGCCTAACTAATAAATCAGTACATTCTAATCATTGGAAGATTTTCTTTTGTAACACTGCTAATTATACTGGTTTAATATATCTATAAAGAACTGTATTAATTACTGGGTTAATGAAGAGGAAAATGTTTTAAGAAAGAGATCTTCATATACTAATCACATAAACATGAAATAGTTTACTCACTACAAACTAATGAACATGTGTAAACTATGAGTCAGAAATGATACAATGTTGCAATTTTTGCTGGTTTTTCTGACACCCTACAAATAGGGTGCACATTTCACTTAATCTGTGGTACTGACTACATACAGCAGTTGGTTTTGTTAACTCAATGATTAGAGTTATCGTTTGAGCTATACTGAAAGACCACACTAACCAATTCCATTATCATATGATCACACACAGCACACTTCTCAGCAGTTTGTTGGTAGCCTGAATACTGCAACCAAAAGAAAATAATAAAACATTTGTAATAACTATTATGAATACCAACAAGAAATATCATACACATTTATACACTATATCCAGTAATATGCCATACTTTTATCTTTCAAACTGTATTTTTTTGTAGGTTTCGAAAAATGCCCATTAGTGTGTTATAAAAATGTTTAAAAGTCAAATAACAGTTTTAAACACAAATCCATCAGATACAAAGATAAACATGGATCAAGAATAAGCTTCATTCTAATGTCAGGAGTGTTAGAATCCAAACAAATTAGCTCATGACTCTATTATTGAAACTCTGCTAGATTGGAGTATATTTATCATATTAATTATTTGGAAATTTTGGTTATAAGTTGTTTAATTGTAATAGTCTTTTTATGACAGACAGTAGAGTTTTTTTTTAGGTAAAAGATGAATTGCAGCCAGTAGAATTGAAGGCATAACAAATGGCAGTCAAGAGTTTGACTAGATACGGTTACAATCTGGGGTTTCAATGGTAGAAAGATGTTAATTAGCAACTGTTTTGGCCCACACGGTCAATAAGAACGGAGTTATAATAATAATAATACTGATTCAATAATAATGGTAATCTTTAATTTCAGACACATTGGAATTGTATGGAGCAAAATAGTGAGGGAGAGAGATATCTTGAAATAATACAAGATGGTTTTCTACACCAAATAGTCATAGAGTCAACCAGAGTGGATGCCATATTAGATTTATTTTAACCTTTAAAAGAGTTGAAATGGAGGAAAATTTAAGGAAGAATGATCATTGCATAATCAAGTTTGAAGTTTTGGTTGATATTGAGATAAAGTTAGTTTCTAATTTTCAGAAAGCCAGTTTTGAGGACATCTGATAAGTTTTATGATTAGCAAATTGGGTTAATGGGTAAAAGGTAATGTGGAGTATACATGGGACACTTTAAGAAATAAGTTGCTTTTAATTCAAAACAGGTATATTCCTAAAAGCAGGAAAAAGATAATAGGGAGTATCAAGCCAAATTGGTTTAATAAAGGTATAAAGGACAAAATCAAGGATAAGTGCTGTAAGTTTAAAAAGTTTAAGTTGATGGATAGGTTGGAAGGTTTACAGAACTATAGGAAGGCTAGGGATTTGGTTAAAAATTAAATTAAGATATCTAAAAGAGAATATGAGAAACAACTGACTGATAGTGTTAAAACTAACAGCAAAGATTATTTTAAGCATGTTAAAGATAAGCAAAATCTTGAAATGTGGATTTGACTCTCAAAGAATGCTGATGGCAAGGCTTTTGTTGAGGACTTTGAGCAAGGCCAGTCGTAGACATTTGGTGGCCACAGGCAAACTTATTTTTGGCAACCCTATATAACAGTATTCAAATATTTTGCATTATGAGGAATAAATAATGACTCGGTGGTTTATGATATATTAGATATTAAATTTTATAGGTCTGTTAATCTTGGCCTTCGCATGTTTATCTCAAAAAATAGTTTTAATATTATATATATTCCTGTTAATTTTTAAATTTATTTTAAAAACTTGGAGACCCCCTAAAACTGGCAACCCCAAGTTGCCACTTGGTTGTCTGCTGTTAGGAGCAGCTCTGACTATGAGTTGGCTAAGTTTTTAAATGTTATTTTTTTCTCTTCTGTTAACAATATTCCTGAGAATGCTATGGGAAATATTGGAATTCACCTGAATCTTGTATATGTTAATCCAATGGTGGTAAGTAAAAATAATGAAAGATTAACATTAAAGCTCCATCAGGCAAGGATTTCTCCAGAGTTTTAAAGGAGGTTGAAGATCAGAGCCTCTGAGGATTGAAGAGTTGCTACTGTTACTCCTATTGTTAGAAAAGATGATATAGGTTGATGTGGAAATTATAGGATGGTTATTCTTACTTCTGTAGTGTGAAAAGTTCTAGAGTCTGATAAAAAACCTTTACAAAATCATTTACTGAAATATAATATCATAAATGAAATCCAATGTGGATTCACCAGAGGGAAATCTTGCATTATTAATCTGTTAAATGTTTTTGAGGATGTTACTTGTTATCTATATGATTGAAAGGGCATGTAATTGATGTACTCAGATTTTTGAAGAGCTTTTATTATTAGAATGTGGGGTGGTTGGATGAGAATAAGTAAAAGGTTGTTTTCTCAATGAAGTCCAGTCAAACTGGACCCTTGTTACTAGTGGAGTATCTCAGGGGTCAGTGCTTTAGTCTCTGTTCTTTCTTATCTACATTAATGATATTGATAAGAGCACAATTAGGACATAGTAAAGTTTGCTTATGACACTAGACTCTTGAGCATTCCCATCTGTATTGAGGATGTTGAGATGTTACAAATTGACTTGGATCAACTGGTAAGTTGGAAAAATATTTGCCAAATGATCTTTCATCACAGTAACTGATAGTAAAAATACACCATCCCTATGTGTATATATTTATACCAATTCCAATTAGCAGTAACAGAGAGTTAAACATGTGTAGTACTGACAAACTGGCAGTGAGTTGATTCAAGTGGTTGACATTTTTAGTAGCTATCCCCGAGTGATCTGTTTCAGTGATGAAATAACAATGTTAGAAATCTAAACTTGTTCTTCAGTTGCATTTTTTTTTCTAAAAATTAAAATTTCATGAAATTTTTCTTCATAATTCCACAGGTTCTGTATTTTACATTTGTTTAAATTCATTGCACACAGAGACATCATTGGGCACTGGCACATGGGACCCATGCCCAAATTCTATTTGATAGTGCCCCAAATCTACAGTTTGTGTCATGAAGAATCAGAGTAGAAAACCATGATCAATATCATATACTGAAATGCCAAAAATTCAAGTGCTTATGGGCCCAAGCCCTGAATCTTTTAAGCACTTAGCAACACCTCTGATTGCATATGTATAAATGGCAAAAATGTCCTATGAATCTGATGTTTGGCCTGATTTTTCCTGGTGATTGGAGGAGGTGACTTCAACATGTCATTTACTGTTTGAACACTTGCTGGTTGTTATGTTCTTAAACAAAAAACCACTACATTACACTTGCAAATTCTATTTAATATACTTGATTTTTGCTGGTAAAGTCTAGAACTAAACAAGTTCTAAATAAATTAACAAATATTTTGTATATATATAACTGATGTTACATAAGTACTAACCTACATATGAATAAAAAAGGGGAAAATATGTTTTAAACTAATAAAAAACCAGAAATGTGTACTAAATAAGCAGTCACACCTATATTATAATATGATTTACCTGCATAAAATAAATGGGTTGATCTGGGGGTGTAGTGCCTACTGAACAAGAAAAATTCTGGTTAATATACAACTCCTGAAACATGCTATTGGAAGGAGACACAGACAGTTACTTCACTTGTTTAGAACCTCTGAAAATGAAAATAGTAGCTACTCAAGATACTGCATGATACTGAATAAGTATTTTAGCCAATTGCATCTTTGCTATGTCTCTTATTCATTACTTTTGCATTCTGTTCATATTTAACAAGTGTTTTCTTTACATCAGTGTGATATATCTTGAGTAGTATTAAAATTTATTTACTTAAAAGAAAATTTATCTGAAAGTAAACTTACAAGGTAATCTTCTTCACAATAAATTCTTCCATGAATGACATAAAAAGCCTTACCACGTAGAGAGCGGCCTAGAAGAACATAAAAAAAAGAACAATGATAGTTAGAAAAACATTTTTCTGTCCCCTTTTGGTTACACACATATATAAAGTAGGCAACTTTAATAACTAATCAAAAAACAAGCATATTCTTTAATTAATTCACACATGAAAATTTTGTCACTAAAACTACTAAGACTATAATACTGATATGAATATAAGTACACTGATAACATCAGTTGAATTTCTGATACGCTAAGATATCCGAGTTTATATTACAAATGTATAAAAAATAATTAATGAAATACTACATGATAGAGAATACTCACTACATGAACTGCAGGTAAAACATTTGGAATGGTAGAGATTTCCCATTGCTTGGCATGCTTGTCCTACTCCCATAACCTTCTCGCCACATGCATTGCAAAGTCCTGTAAATTCAAGAAAATGTTTTTCAAAAGTAGTAGATCTATTTAACAGATGGTTTTCTTTAAGAAATAAGAAAATTGGAAGTATGAGGCTTGAATCCATCTGTATGTTACATAAAGATTTTTTTAGAAAATACCATGTTCTTATTGTTTCTATATGTTTTACAACTACAGATACATTTAACACTGAAATCCATTGGAAAGTCCCAAACACTTTGAGATCATTTCTAGATCATATGCGAAATACAGCGTTCCTACTCAAACACTTATATAGGAGAAACAGACAGAGCAAGATTTAAAAAGCACAAGGTCAACACCAGACCGTTGAAGACACAAAACTATTGCTTTTCTCAACAATCACTTCATAAACTGGGACAAATGTAACTTTCTCAACAAAAACTCTGGGAAACATGAAAAATCAAAGAAGCCTTCATCCGAAAACCTGTGTTTGCTATTGTGCCTATCTTAATACTTAATAACCTGTAGAAGTAGTATTTTTTTTACGTTGTATAGTAAAGTTAACGTCATTTGTAATATAGGCCTGCAACACCTTACGACAGTGTACATGTGTTCAAGCTCGTAGAAACATTAAAGTTTGTGACCGTTTTGTGGAATGTACTGATAAATTACTTCTACCAGATAATTCAAAAGAGCCAACAAATCCAAAGAAAAATAAACGTTACCACATTTTGTGTCAGTAGTGGGGTTATTTTGGTGAAAATAAAATAGGATTTTGATTAAACTTTCATTAAACTTTGTTTGTTTGTTTGTTTGAAGTTAAGCACAAAGTAACACAATAGGCTATCTGTGCTCTGCCCACCACGGGTATGGTAGTGTTGTAAGTTTGCAGACTGTGTCACTGGGAGACCTTTCATTAAAGAAGAATGTAAAAGGATATTAAAAGAAGACCGTGAACAAAAGGACACAAACTGAGATAGGAAACTGCTACACATGATAAAACAATGGAAAGAAAAACAAACCAAAAGAGATAGATCATTTAAGGAAGACCAGGAAGAAAGATAATAAAAATGAGAAGAAAGTGAAAGAAAATGAAAAGAGGGCCAAGAAGAAAAAGATAGGAAATTAGAAAAAGAGAGATGTACTACTTAAAGACAGATTTTAAATAAAAATAAATATCATTGAAATTAAGATCAGTGAATCTATCTCGGGGGGGGGGGGGGCTTGATGAGAAGATACTATGGAAGTCATACCAAGCTAAGTTTGAAATCACTTCCATGGTTAATGGGTGGAATAGAAAAACAACAGGCCGGCACCCCCTATTTTTGTGATGTATAAAGTTATGCTTATAGATTTACAGCACAGCTGCTTATGGTATTTAACGTCTTCTACATAGTCTACATTCTATTGATGAATTATTATCATTTTTGGCTTGAAATAGTCGTATGCAATGGCTTCTGTTAACACTTTGTAATTGGAATGCCGAAGCCGTATTGCTAATGTCAGGTTTTGTATGCCAGATTCTTTACAGTAGGTGTCTGTGACTTGTTGTTGATAAATTTCAACAAAAAAACAAACAGCAACACAGTTCACTTGTTTTAAAATAACATATTAAACAAATCAACAGTATATAAAAATGTCCGTTACACTGTTGGTTATCACAGCTGTATCCAGAGCTTTAAATAATTGTTTCTTTTTCGTCAAAGTCCACACAGGCTAGTTCAATTACATTAGAACACAATTAATAAGACGAATTATTCTTTTCTACTCTGTTACTACAACACAGTCTGTGATAATTTCACTTTAAAAATCACCACTATACACTCATTATCGCTTAATTCACGATCATGCAGTTTAGATCTAAATAATAATCTTATACCTATACTTATACACATAAGATTAAAGTTTATTACAAACCTTTGTAGGATAATTACTTTAAGCGACATCAAGGTTAATTGAAAGTGATGTTTTACACTATATTGTTACGTCTCCGTTTGTTAATTGATTTTCCGTAACTTCGTTCCGACGAAACTTAAGCGACACAACTCCTTTCTTAATAAAACTAGTTTATTCTTTCCAAATATAACTTTACCGATACACTCAACTTCAACAATCGAGCTAAACAAACGCTGTAACGTCTCTCGTGCTCTCTGACTGCAGTTCAATTACTCAATGTCTATCTACCCAGACATTACATTCCCCTCTTTTATATACCAGCCTACCCTATATCTAGTAAGAACTAGAACATTCGCCAAAGTACATGATAGTTCTAGAAACGTTGCGTCACAGTAGTCATGTGACTCGATGACGCAACAATATGTTATATTTGAAAAAACTGCTTTTCTACTGGTAAAATTTTACACACGTTTAGTGGGGGTTGTGTATAGTCTAAGAATATATTTGCTCATTGCTATGCATTATATATAGAGAATTTAATTACACAGAAACTATAAATGTTCACTATATTCTCAAACAAATCTCCATGACAATCTCTAGCAGCAGCTTAGCATTGTACATCTCGACTAAACAAATAGTCAATAACTACAGTAAATCATAATGAACCGTATCAGCTAGCTGCTAGCTACGTTTGTTATCATTACAACATATAAACTTGGCTACCAGATCAAGTAATTCTTTGCTCATAGTTGAGCATAACAAAAGCCAGCAAACAAGAAAAATAAAAAATTGAGAATTTCAAAAACCTGCAAATAGGGATTGTAAAAAAGTAAGCAAACAAGGCTGGAGATACTGTAGACATATATTACTTAAACTACAAATCCCTATCTTGATTCCACCAAATGTAATTCTAGGTAACAGCATGGAGTCAAAATATGGGTTTGTAGTTTGAGTAAATAAAGTCTACAATATCTTAAGCATTGTCTCCTTACTTATTTTCACGATCCCTATTTGTATGTTTTTAAATTCCAAGTTATTTATTTATTTCATAGATATTCAGTAACAGACTAGATACGACACTAGCACTCCGAAAACTTGCCAAGAGGCCGCCATTTTGGAGAGGTATATACTCCATGTGTATCGCGTCCCGTGCATATATTAGTGATGTGCCCACTGCTCAAATTGGAGGGGAATGTTGTTCCCTTGTTAACAGAAAGAAAAACAAACAAACTGAAACTCTGACTGTCAGATTCCTGAGACATCTGCGAGTAGATTTCACAGCTCAAGTGATGGATATGCCTGTCTACATAAATTATTTTAGGTCGTTTCTCACATTTAAGGCTTTGATTAACTATATAATAGGATCTTCTGTGTGATCTGATTCTGGATTTACTTTTAATTTATTGCAAATTTTATTATTTTTCTGCAAGGTAAACGTATTACCGCGTATTTTGTTTTACTTACCACCATGCTCCAAGTTGAACAACAACAACAAAAAATTAAAATAAAAAATAAGCGGCCTAGCTAACTAATGAATGAAAAATTTGCTGTAAAATTATTATCAATGCTATAAGTGTAGCTATTAGTTTGGCCACCAATTTTAATTACATTCCGTTAAGTCACACGCTCAATCATTTTTTGCTGCACCTTTTTTTTTACATCTAAGGTGTTTTTGATTAGATATCATGATTTTTTGTCAATACATACCAACAAACATAGCAAGTAAGAAAGTGACACTCGATAGTAACCAACATTAGCTTTAGGATCGCAACCTTATTATTCGGAACAGACCTATACTTTAAAGAACCAACCAGATTCTTTATAATAAATGGTGGTAGTTTTCCTCTCTAAAACAGTGTTAATAGCTTCCTTTATAATAACTCCATGGAATCTAGAATGACAGTTTCTGTCATCATCCGCCGTATGAAGCATTATTATTTACGCTAATTGCTTAAGCTAATATCAGTAATGCTAAACGCTCTTTAATTAGAATTTCATAAAATTTTGCAAATTTATGCTTAAAACTTGGCAATAAATAATGAATAATAACCGTCCACCCGTACGATTCTTTTGAAAACTTGAAATTGCTAACCTAGTTTACTTGGCCTAACCAATATTTATGTATCTGCACATCTTTAGCTGCTCTAAATCATGACAAAAACTGTCCACTTTTACTTTTAGTTGAAGCTGTAATAAAAATTTTAGACCGATAGCTCATGTGACTTTTTGTGTGCGCAAAACTTTTGGTCAAATTTGAGGGGGGTTCCAGTTAGATAACTTTGCAAATGTGGCTTACACTTAAACCAAATTATAGGTTCTAAAAGTCTATCAGAGTACCAAAGCTAAAACAAAAAATCCATAAAAGTTAAGTATGTTTTTCTATGAAAATAATTTCCGTACTTCCAGAACGAAGAAAAAATAATGAAAATTTTCAATTAAAATTGGATATTCTATATCTCATGTATTTCTTAATGGATCCTTGAAATTTGGTATGTGGAGTAAGTGTCCAGTAGAGGACATCCACTGAAAATATGTGATAATATGTATTACCACAATCCCGGCCACAGAAAGTGAAAAATCGCTAAACTCCCATTCTTGTTAATAACACACTGGGATTTCTGCTGTGTCGACAGTGGGAAATCGAATTTTAGCTTTGTTAGTTCGCAACCTTGCTGCTGACCCGGCGGATGACATAAGCAAACAGCCTCCAGTCATAATATATTTTTTTAATGTACGTTTCACTGAAGTTCTCGTTTTATAAATAGGGTGGAAGTTCACATTCCCTAATTTTGAACAAGCAAGTTAACAACATCCACGATCCCAAAGTGCAGAGCACATTTTTTAAGGAAAATGGCCGCGAAAAATTAATTTTGGCACACTAATCACTGGGCCACACCCTATCTGCACTAGCCGTCCCTAATTTAGCAGTGTAAGACTAGAGGGAAGGCAGCTAGTCATCACCACCCACTCTTGGGCTACTCTTTTACTAATGAATAGTGGGATTGACCGTCACATTATAACGCCCCCACTGCCGAAAGGGCGAGCAAGTTTGGTGGGACGGGGATTCGAACCCACGACCCGCAGATTGCGAGTTGAGCGCCCTAACCACCTGGCCATGCCGTGCCGATTAAGGAAAGTAATAACAATATAGCAGAACTCAGCATTTGGAATTCTACAGTATGTAGTACAGCTCAACTAATTAAAAGTTAAACTGCAGCATCAACAGGCATATATAATAAGATAATTACATTTTGTGGAGAGAAATCAAGCTTTTTACTGAACAGTTATTAGATAACACTAAATCTTCTCGAAAACAGTTTTTTTATCTCAGTTTGAACTGATAGCAAAGTTTCCCCATAATAATTGAACACATTTGTAGGTCATACAGGGACATCTTCATTATTCAAACGCTGAACTCCAGAATGAGTTAATACAGATGCTCTCAAAAGAAACCAATTATGCTTGTTTTATTGTTAAGCACAAAGATACACGGTGGGTTATTTGTACTCTACCAACCATGACAAGCCTGGTGATAAGGGCAATCTGCGGGATCAAAACCTATCGCAGAAAATGCCTGTTCTTCGGTTGTAGGTCATTGTAATGTGGCGTTCAATCTCACTATTCGTTGGTAAATGATTAGCCCATGAGTTGGCGAGGATGACTAGCTGCCTTCCCTCTAGTCTACTCCAAAATTAGGGACGGCTAAGCAGCTGCCAATAGTCTTAAATAAGGGCGTTGAATGTGGAAGGAATGTAAGCGTTGAAAAAAGTTTATTACCTTCGAAAGGAGTACAGGCTCCGCTTTATCGTAAATGAGTTACGAAACACAGAGTACCGTTCGCAAATACGAGAATATAACACAGGCGTGTGCAATCTCGGTTGTTGGAATTAAACAAAATTGCATATTTTGTTCCTTATAGCTGTAATACTTTGAGTCTTGTACTGTGTTATGCTACAAATTCTTGCAATTTGTTAAAAACATCAAAGAATGTACACTATTTTTGAGGCATCAACCAACAGATGGGCTAGTTTGAAGTCCTTTGTTAATATCACTCTCAAACCTTTCTTTTTTTCAGAATTAAACTAAAACTGTAAAACAGATAGTGTAATCTAATCAGAGGCTAGAACATTAGAAGATAAGTTATCGTTGTACAGATTTCGAATTTAATTTTAAGTCTGGTATGATGTGTTTGTACAAATAAATTTTGTCAGCAACAAAATGGTAAAACTCAGCTATGGGAATTGATATTGCAAATAACTTATTAATGACGTAGGACAAAACCGTCCCGAACATGAAAGACGTTATATTGTGACGGTCAATCCCACTATTCATTAGTAAAGAGTAGCCCACGAATAGGCGGCGAGTGGTGTTGAATAGCTGTCTTCCCTCTAGTCTATCACTTCAAAATGAGGGATGGCCAAGCTTAGATAACTCTCGAGTAGCTTTGCCCTAAATTAAACTCTTATATATTTCGTTGTACAGTATCTCCACGATCATTAAGTGTGGTGACTTTCTAATCCTTCCTTTCACTCTTTTTACCTTTAATATTACGTTATTTGATGTTAAAAATGCAATAAGTTATATACACAGACGTCGAAAAACATAATCAGATGTTTTAGTATGTAATAAGCTTATAACGTCACTAATACAATGATTATAGTTCCATAAAAGTAATATTTAATACAAGAAACAATCTATTGTAACTTGTATATTAGTCAGCATTTTATAATAGTAGCAACATATACATTAATTGCGATTCAAGGCGTTTCAGGTTGCGTGGAAATTGTTTGAAAGGCTCCGATTTTTAAAAATACTTCGAGTTTTTGGTTTAGCGATATGGGCGTGTACAACTGCTTAGTTTTCAGCTAAAGACGGTACTCGCGGGTTTCCTGCGACGAACAGGGGTTGTTATCGGGATCAATTATAGCAAACCCTAAGGCCAAATTTTAAGTCACTTACACACAATATCATTTTATAAAACTTGTATACTTACCACTCATTGTGGCGGTATCCAGAGTTCAGAATATCGAAACCGTAAAAATAATGTTTACTTAAACCCATACGTAAATACACGACAAAACTACAACACACTGTCCCAATACACAGCTGCTCTACTCATATCTGTTTATAGCAAACAGATCTTCAAGGGTAACAGCCTGCCTACACGAAAAGCACTAGCTGGCACTGTGCCATAAAACCAAGTTTCTTGTAAGTTCCTTAGGGCGCACGTGCTTCTGTTACACCGAAGACATATACACAATTTAGCAATAACAGATAGGACACAGAATTTCTTTATTCAACAAGTTTAATTTTCTAGTAGATACATAGTTTATCTATGTACTTTTTTACTGAAATGATCTTATTCTTTTTTTATATTTCTGAAAGGAATAGATTATTCTGTAATCATCATAGTTCATTAAAAAACAGAAAGTTTAAAACGGGATACCTTCAACTAAATGGAAGGAAAAAATGTTTACTACATTCAACAACTTTATTAATTTAAATCAGCCTAATCGACTTTCATATGGTAGGAAACCGGTGAAACTACTTTTGCAATTATATAACCTCACAAAATAATCCAAATATATATTATTAACTAAGAGTTTTAACAATAAATTGTGAAATTTCTTTAACCCTTAAAATATAAATACTAACCCTAAGAAACCTTTTAAAAGTAGTGCAGTATTATATAATTTTGAAGATCATATTGGCGCTTAAATTATAAGCTACAGTTCTGAATCTGTTAGATTTGAATATAATTACATTTTTTTACGTTAGAATTTGACATGCATCTAAATTCAAATGGTTAAGTTATAGGTTACAATAACTTTAAAACTATTGTTTATAATTATAATTTCTAACATTAAAATATATACGTTTCTTAAACATATTACACAGATCTGTCTGCACAAAGAGTGTAATCAATTACATTTTTCATAAGACAATAGTGTTAAGTTTATTGTATTTTTTACATTACATTTGTTTAATCAGCCCCACAAGGTTTTTCTAATAATACATTTCTATTTAAACTATATAATGGTGAAATTAAAATGGTTAAAGTAGAAAATAATAAATATTAAGTTATTTCTATTGCAGTTATTTGACCCATTGGTTTCCAGTGCTTTTCCCGTTTTTGGTATTCAAAAGCATATCTTTAAATGTATTTCTTAAATTTCTTTTCATAAGTATGTATATGCAAGGACATCGTTAACACAGAAATTTTTAAATTTGTTTTATATATTTGAATATTGTTTTGATTGTTGCTAGAGTAGCAAGAAATCTGTAATTTTATCCTGTTTTTACAGAAAATATAGTTTTTTTTATGAATTCAACAGATAAAAGTTAACTTTATTAGCTAATGATCTACTAACGCTTTGTTTATTTGAAGTGTATATTGTAAATAACTTAAGAGCCATTATTAAGTTTAGAATTATTTGACTATATGTATTTTAGTGTATATTTCAAGCAGAATGAATTCAGTTGATCATTACTGTTATAAAATCTCAATTATTTTATGGCCCAGAAAGACGTATCAAAATATAGTGTCATGTTTGTAGTGTATCCGGGTTATTTAAAAAAATTTGTATTGATGAAATGTTCAATACCTATATTTTTATGAAAGTTATGGATTCAATGTTATAAAAAAGATACATCCTATGACATATAACAAATTTAGTCAAAACCGATTTCATATCTACATAGTTATTCTTAGATAAACACATCACATTACTGGTATTCTATTATCTACATTTTAAACTAAGACATGGGCATAAAGGCATCATGAATCTGTTTTCTCTAATGGACTCTTGATGGCATGATCTGGATGTTCCCGAATAAACTTTTTGTATGGTGGATCTAGCCCAAAGAGTTCACTCTCTCTATCAATATCCTCAATGAACTCCTTCCCAAAGCATCTTTGTCCTGTAATGGGGTCAATAATGTTTCCAAGTTCATAAACAATTTTCTCTACCTTATGTTTGACTTTCAGACTAATTGGTTCAGATAATTCCTGAAAGAAATAAAATAAAAAGTACCTGTAGGATTAAACTATATACTCATGAAAACTTAACATGATTAATTAGTCATGTTACTTGTCCAAAGTAACTTTAATGAAATGATGCAAAATGAAAATTACCAACAGTTGTTAACACTTGGAAGATACTACTGGACTGCATCTGTCTTAGGATGGTTTTTATGACATTTCAAGTTGCTAAGGCAGATCTTCACTTGATATATGTCTGCATTAGCAGCTCAAAATATCATCCAAAACTTCCTAGACAGATGCAGTCCATTCACAAGGTCTATCAAATATACTCTCCTCTGCCTAAACCTTATGTTAGGCAAGAGTTATTAACATACTAATCTGGCACCAGCTTTAAAAGACAAACATGTTATTTTACTAAACTATTTTTGACTGTAGCTTAACATTATTGTGTGGTAAATCAACCAAAAATCATTCTGGATGTTCTATAGATCATTGGACTGTACTAAAGTATATTATTAGGTGTATTAGTTTATTCCAGTACCTACAAATATAAGCTGTACATGTACAGTCCCACAAAATACAAACACAATAAAAAAATACACTTGCTAATGAAACAAGAGCACAAGAAAAAACAAATAAACAGATACAACAGTCTACAGCAAATATAAGAAAATAAACTACAACAGTGGATTTGCAGAAGTTAGTACTGTGTGTTTTAAGTGCATCATGAACTGGTGCTGTATATACTTGTACATGTATAGCTGGGTGGATTGGGGACAAAAAATGGCCTGGGAAAATTATTTTTATACCAGCTTCTATGAGATCAAGGGAGAGGGATAACTGAAAAAAAAACCGAGCTGGTACTGCTCTTAATGCTAGATGTACTATAATATGTACTAGTACTCTTCTTGAAGTTCCCAAATGAAACAAAAATACATTGGCAATTACAATCCAACATATATATTAGTAAAGCATAGACCTGGATGAACATAAAATTACATGAACTGAAATTTCACATCAAAATTTAAAAAAAAGTGTAATTATCTATTTATTGCTCATTCACACTATAAGCTGTTAATGGGAACTAGAGAAACCAATTAAGCTTGATTTAGATAAAATTTGATTTTTCTTGCAATTATTTTTTAATGGACTGCTAGCCAACCAGGAATTTTCCCAGTGTTCCAGCAACCAAATCTGCCCTTGTATGTATATAACTAATATTCAATACATACTGAAAAAAATAAGTACATTGTTTGTGACGTATACCAGCATATATTTTACAAATAGTGTCTAAATTTTATACAATCGGGATGAATAGATATACCTGGATAGATTGATGTGCAACATTCAATAATTCAAATAAACACAATATGTAGGTTCTAGAAGTGTTATGCAGAGTATTGAAATTAAAATGGACAGTGAAGAAAAACAACCCAAGTGAAAAAATAAAGCAATAATTTTATTCACAATGATGTTTATGTCGTTACGTTTGCACAAGACAACAATCAAAGAAAGAAAAATGTAATGCCATACTTTCAAGTCAGGCTACAGCCCAGTACAGTATCCCACATCCTCAACTTAAGTACATCAATGACCATTTCAAATAATACATATATCATACATACAAGGGATAAAAACTTCAATTTATATGAACTTTTACAAGTGTCTTTGTCACCCCTTGAGCTGGGCTTGACTCACACCAGGGAGTAGATAATGGTTTAAACTGGTATAAGCTTCTGTGTGATAACTGTTGTCATTCATAATGTTCATCTATGCAAAATGTTTAGTACAATGTTATGACCTTTCTACATTCAGTTAAAATGGATTCTATTAACTATGTGCAGATGACTTAAATGGAAATTTAAAATGAATATATCTTCCTATAGACATGTTCAAACTGGTTACTGAAGGGTGAAGTTAACAGTTATTTCAACTGTGTCTACCACATCCTCACCCATACATGTTTTGTTGCTAATTTAACAGACTGGTAAAACAAAGAGTACTCTTTTAAGTTTTTGTTCATTTTACCTTCATAAATACAATTTACAATGTTATAGGCAACAAATATTTTTGAAATAAAGTATCTTACTTTTACCACAAAGATCCTTTCTTATCTTACAATATTCTTTAACAATTACTGTAGTTATCGAAATGTTCAAATCACAATGATCAACATCAGTCCAACAAAAAAGAATCTGATCAATACTCTTTAAAGATCTTTTCTCCAAAGATTAATGTTATTACTATCAGAATTATTAATGTGATCCCTCCAAACATTTTCATACAAACATATATGAAGACTTTATTTTATTGTAAGAATGAAAAACAAGTTATCTTGCTAATTAGATAATAGAACAGAAAGATAATCATCACTATAAACCCCAAAATACTTGAATAGAGGTTTACTAAAAAACTAATATCGTGATGACTGAAGGAGCTGTTCCTATTCTCAAACCACAGAAAACCAAACATCAAAAATCATCTTCAAGTAATTTATTTACAACCACACAATAAAATCCTCAGAGAGTAAAGAAATAATAGCATGTACCAAATCTTCATTCAAATTAATCCACAATTAACATGAGATATAATTCTGTCAGAGAACAACCTTGGCTCTAGGTTTCAAAAGTCTGTAATATTAAAGCCACCATTATTCCCCTTTACAGTTCAGAAATAAGAAAAGACATTCAATAGATGGTCTGACTAAAATTCTAACAGTTTTAATAACATGATTCATATCACTTATTTTCATTCAAATCAAGAACATTCAATAATGTACTATGAAATTCTTTTCATTTTACATCATATGAAAGACAGTTAACTGTAGAGCTCTCTTCTAGAAACGCATAAAGAAAACCAGTAGTAAACCAGAAATAACAGTTTACCCTATTTAAAATTTTTTTTATCAAGGTGCTGACAGTCATCCTATGTTTGTCTCATGCTATGGTAGTGCCACACTCTGCAAAATAACATCCTTTATCTTATGTCATAACAGGGAGAGCTTTTCACACCATAACTCTAATAAACTTCTGTATCATAATAATTATATATATGTATCATATGCAAAATTCATTTTATGCTTTTCACATGTGCTGATATATGATAAACCTATTTTAACAATTAGTAGTGGAAAAGTTTATGGGTAGACACAAGTTAGCACTGACCCTTCAAACTGTGCAAGTTTACATGTTGAGGAAACACTGTTAAACACTTTTTCTAACCTTCAAGTTGAGCATAAAACAAAAGTATGATGTTACAATCTCTGAAAGTACACTTACAGTCATATACATAATTAATGCACATGTTCTTTGTGAACATCCTCATAGCCTGAATTAAAAACTTTGCAAAATTTCAGCAGCATTAATGAGCTATGGGCAATAATTTCAATTAATGCCTTTGTTATTGGCAACTAGAATCATAACAAGACAATTATTAAAGATTTTTGAATTTTAAAACATTCAAGCTATAGAAGAGTGTAATATCAACAAGTGTGCTTAATTTCATGCTGATATTGGCGAGGTTATGCTAATAAATTGGTGATCCCAGTGAAAACTGAGTTTTGAGAAAATAGCCATTAAGACAAAAATGAGTTATTTATGTAGAAAAGAAGTTAAGATTTCAATTTAGGTTAAATTTGACAAATGTGATTTTTGAAATATTGGGGTGCTCTTTAAAAGTTAGTGCTACCTTAATGTAATAGATTGTCACTGCATTATTTTCTTAAATTGCAATGAAGATTATTGCTACACGTTGCTTTAACTTACTCTGATCAGGACATAATCACCTGGCTTACATTTTTCTTCTGGATCATAAGCATAAAAATCACTTCTTTCTTTGAAATGCTGTAAGAAAAAGCACCACCACATTTATGAAAAATATTAAATTACTACACATCTTAAACATTATCATAATCTAAGTAAAACAAATACTTTCATGAGAAAATTTACTTAAGATATAATAGACTTTAAATATGTGATATTTCCATTATTATGGTGTAACGTGACTCTTATTTTTGATCCCAATAAAATAAACTGACTGGACTAAAAATAAGAAAACTGATTTCATTTCACTTACTAAGGCTAGTTTAATAATTATTTTTTAGTGTTAATTGAAAAAAAAACTGACTGGAAATTACCTATTACTAAACATCTTTGGTCAAATGCTGCATAAAAAAGTAGATTTCTAATTTAGAGTACATGTCACAGTATATCCGTAAACAATAAGTTCCCCAGGCAATATGTTCATCACATTAGTGAATAACAAAGAGAAAGTAATATGGAACAACAGATCCATGATGTTGTCTGTCCATGTAATTACTTTGCAGGATGTGGATGGATCTTCACCAAAATTGGTATGGGGGTTCATTTGGTACAAATTTGCAGTTTTGCATTTTGTGGTTTTTATGGGCTTTTTTTTACCACTGTTGATGGATCTTCACTAAATTTGGCATGAAGGTTTGTTGGGTTCATGGGGAAATACATGGAAACTTGTGGTTTCACATTTTGTGTTTTGTAGTTTTTATGGGCACTTTTGCATTTTTTTTACAATTACATATAAGGGAAGCAACTTTTCATGTACTAAGATGACCTTTCATTAATCATGAATTTACAAAACTTCCATCCATGGGACAGGTACTCCAGCTAGTATAAGTTGCTATGACCTTAGGTATTACTAAATACAAGCAATATTACATTAAATAACTCCTAATATTTAAGTCTCTATTCCAAACTCATCATTTCTTAACTCAGACTTTGAATGAGCAGATTTTCCAAGCTACGAACAATACTCAAAACCAGAATAAAGTTGTCTCTATTTTCTTATATGCTTCATAAAAACAAGCCCAAGTATTAATGTTTAATATTTTTAAAATCACACCATTCTACAGAAAATTCAGTATAATGTAATTATTTTAAACATGCAAATCAGCCAGTCACATCACAATCACAGTCAATATTAAGTTGTCATGGAACTGCATGTATCTGAAATAAATTTGAAATTACTTGGCATTTCATAGATAATGTGATGCCACAAAAAAATGACTGCTTATGGGATGGATATGTAACAGTCTTTTCCAATGCAAAATTCTGTTCATACACTCAGAGCATAAAACTGTCTTCAGATCAGGGACTAAAAATTTCCAAAATGGGAATATCCCTTGTACTTAATAGCATTTGGAAAAAATTAATACGTAGCAACTTGGGTCGCCAGTGTTATCCAGAAAAAATATTTCAAAAAGTCATACCCTGCCAGTGGTAATTTAAGTGGGTTGTCTTGTAACAGATGAGAAACAACAAACTCAAAGGTCAGTGGCAAAAGCCATCCACAGGCAACAGTACTCAATATGATCAAGAAGAATCTCCATCTGGAAATCAACACAATACATGTGTATACAATTTACTTACACAACATATCCATGAAAAGAAGATCAACTGTAAAAAACTGTATGAATGGTACCTAACTGGAGAAAAATAGCAGTACTTGGTGACATTTGACTAAGTGTTTGTGTACCTTGATAACTGTAATAAGTCTCATGCCATTTTATACTGGTCAAGGTAGGTAAAAATATTCGAAAGTAGCATACGATATGTCAAGGATCATTATCATCACTGAATATTGAACAAGGAGAAAGTGATCAGGAGAGTGAACACAACTGTCAAGGTGAACTCTTCTTACTGTCAGATCAATATTCTGGCTTTGTACAGAAATGAGGAAAATGATGGGTTCACCAAGATAAGGCATCCAGCGATACCTACCATTCAACTATCACATACATCAGGTGGCTGAAGAATGAAATGGGTATTCATGCTTTTCCATGTGAAGACATAAGTATTTCTTATCACTTTTGTACTACACTAGACTGATGAAGCTTCTTTTAGAATGTTACATATAGATTTTGGTTCTTTTATTATAGAAAATATATTGAAATGCTGGAAAAGTTATAGAGAGTTGAGTATGGTATATTAAAATTATTTTGGAGTCTCACTATGTAGTAACTTTCCATATCCTCACATCTGGTCATGCTCTATCTGTTGATCATGTATCTTGACAATAATCCTGTAGCGTAGTTCCATTGCAAACAGCTCTATTGTAAGGCTGTCATGTCTAGAGCACACCACTCCTTCGTGGTTGCTTTCCATAATTTATCAAGTGTACAAGGACAACAGTTTTGTTGCACCTATTTCAATAGTGGTTGCATAGAAATCTATAGACACTGGGCCAGTGAATTGACAGGGCAACACAAGATGTTTTGGAATGAAGTTCAGTTTCTGAAGAAAGCTGTAAACATCTTGTGTCAGTGTTGACAAACATTTATGTATACATATGTCTTTGCATACTACCTTAACAAAAAAAAACAGTCTGTTATATTTGAGGTAAAGATCAGCATACTTTATTGTCTAATATTCTTTTAAGGGTCAAAATTTGAGTAAAAAAGATCCCAGGACTCTATTTATTCTTTTCACCAAAGTTAAAAACTACTGAAAGTTTCAAGCTTCTATCAAAAAAGTATATTTCTCTGTTTTTCAGTACAATATGTAGGTTTTCCTTACTCTAAATAGTGTTGTAGGTGTTAAAAAAATATTTAATTTAAAATTTTTGGCAAATGGGATTCAGGAAATGAGTATTCAAATGGCAGTCAATGAGGCACTAAACAGGTGATACTTAAATTCCACATTCATCCATATTTACTCTTGACTACCACTGCCTAAACACTTCTCTTTTTCCTTCTCAATACTTAAAAATATTTTCCAAAGTACTTACTCATTCACCTAGTTTCCAAGTATTTTTAAATTAAAAATCCATCTCAAGCAATAATTTAACTTACTAATCCTTTAGTTTTCAACATGGGAATATTATGTACTCACATTTTAGTTTGCCTCATGACATAAGTGTAATATTTCATAACTGCATGTTTTACAATCAGTTACAAGAATTCTAATTCACTTACACTCTGTAAAATGTTCTGTGGATGATAAAACTAAAAGTTAGGTACAAAATGTACCCATGTTGGCCATATACATCTGTTGAATATCTTGGTAATAAGACAGTTAACAGAAATAGGGAAGAAAGCTATTAAAACTGGACTCTAAGTGACTCCAACAGTTGCAGTCTTTCAGTAAGAACAATTCTCATTTTTTCTACATATAAACTTCTTCAACAACACTTTGTCAGAAGAATTATGAATTTCAACATTTCTATGATGACTTTACCCAAAAGCTAAAATAAAGAAGATCAGCCAAGTTACTACTACATAAACATTTTAACAAAACAAAAACTCTAACAAGTTTAGATAAGCAAGGACACCTTTCCAAAGCCTTACAAAGAATCATTTATTAAAAGCCAGCTTAGTTGTTCTCATAAACTATATCAACAGATTACAATACTTTACTAACAACAAAAATCAAATATGTCTATTATTTCCTAAAGCCTTCCACAACTTCCGTTTTAACTAGCACCACATCAGGAGTTTTTCCAATCAACAGGAATTTCTCCACTATTCAGTGGCTTTTGAAAGCTATTTGTTGATGATCCACAGCTCTTTACTTTAAAAAATTTCAGAATTTTATTACTTTCCCACCTAAAGTACAAGTACATTGAATGAATGGTATTCTAACCTTCAAATATTAAAAACATGAGAAAAACTATTTAACTCATTTACAATGTTGAAGAGTTCCTACATACACATACCTGGCCAAAGCCATATGTAATACAGCAGTTCAAATAAAATACAGTATGTTATGTACATACAAGTGGTCTATATAATATGACAACAGTAGTTATCACAATAGTGGTGCACATTAATAGATGACAGCAGCTATATACACCTCAGCATTTTTATGTAAATTGATAAAAGTAAAGTATTTAATCCACAACTATCCCCATTTTGTTACACTAAGTGGAATTACAAAAAAAATGGAAATGGAAAATGTGTGATTTCTCCTTATTAGTGTAACCTACCAAAAACTCTGGAAATGGTTGTGCAAAAATTTGAAGACTTTGATTTGATTTGAATCTTGCACAAAGTTACATGAGAGGTATCTGTGCTAGTTGTATCTAATTTAGCATTGAAAGACTAGAGGAATATATCTAGTCATTACCATCCACTCTTGTGCTATTCTTTTAACAACAAATAATGGAATTGACATTATAACACCCGTACAGCTGAAAGGGCAAGCATGTTTGGTGGGGCATGAAATCAAACCCGTGACCGCAGATTGCAAGTAGAGCACCTAAACTACCTGGTATGCCAGGCCAAAAATTTGGAAACATAACCTTATTAAACAAATTTTTAGATTTTTGCCTATGAAGATTTCTCCTAAATAACATTGGGTAATAACGACGCAGGTAAAAAAAAAGAAAAGAATAATGTCATTAGCAATATCAATAATAATAGTATAAAGTGGAAAAAATGTCAAATTGAAATAGCACGTGTAATAATATCTCATAAAAAATTGTAACAGCAATGCAGAGTAGGGTAAAAAAATAAATATTTTTAAACTTTTACTTTTAGGCCTACATAAAAATCATAAACTCAATTTGTTTTTGTACTTTTTTCACTTGAATTATTAATAATATTAATACAGCATACTGGTGTAAATACCTTAAGTATACGCAGATTTAGTTCCATGCGCATTACGCTAATCTTGGCCGTTTTTCTCATATTAGAATTCACACACTGTCCGAACATCAACATTGTCCTACTTACAGTAGTTGCCATGTTTTCATTAAGCGCCCTCTAAAATATTTCTCTCAATATAAAATGGCTTTTGAAAATCAACAAAATTGACGAAAAAATTATCTTTGTTTGTTTGTTTGTTTGTATTTTAAAAAGCTAGACAGTGGGCTATCTGGGCTGTGCCCACCATCAGTATCGAAACCTGGTTTTTAGCACTTGGATAGTGGGAGTTGACTTTTAAATGTAATGAAGCAGCAGACATTTAATTTAATGAAATTGATCTTTTCTTGCTAAATATATTACTTAAAGTTGAATAATGTTTATGAATACTAAACTTATGTATATATATATATATATACATATATTTTGCAAACTTAGCTATTTTATTAAGCCTGATTAGTCAAAGTATGTCCATATTGGTATGACTGTACATCACAACACACCCTTATTAGATTTATTGTGATACTGACTTCTTATATAGTGTATTTCTGATTCTTGAGTAATATACACTGAGTGGTCACAAGTAAATAGAAACCTAATTTTTCGTCATTTAACTGATCTATGCTAACTAATTTGTGTTCACAGAGCACTATATAAATGAAAATTGTCCGCACACTAATTATCTTGTGCTACAACATGCCTAGAACTCAAGATTCTCTCGAATTGTCAGATTTTGATAGAGGAATGATAGTTGGTCAAGCAGATGGTAAAATAAGTCAGCGGCAAATTTCGCAGAATTTGGGAATCCCGCTTTCGACAATCAACAGAATCATCGTGCAGTTCAGGAAACACGGCAAGGAAACAACTGAGCAGCGTCCGGGTTGTCCTGGTCCATCGGAGAGGACAAAAAGGTCTGTCAAGAGGAGCATCGAAATTGATCCCAGATTAACGACTGCAGAAGTGACCAAAGTTGGTGGGATGAGCCCGAAATCTGTTCAACGGATTCTCCACAGATTGGGTTATTGTTGCAGAGCAGCTAGACGGAAGACCTTATTAAGACCTGCCAACATAGTCAGACGAAAGAAGTGGGCAAGTGATATGATGACCAAGCCTCTGGACTTTTGGAAGATCGTATTGTTCTCAGACGAATCAAGATTCGCTCAATTTTCGGACAGTTGAAGGATATGGGTCTGGAGAATGCCTCACCGAGAGTTTTGGCTCAACATATTGCAGCCAACTATGAAGCATGATGGTTTTAACGTGATGGTTTGGGGAACTGTTTGGGTTGGTGGGAGATCGAGCTTAGTGGAGTGTGTTGGCAACAT